TTATTGATGTATCATATGATGCAGAATTTATTTAGCTTTAAATTGGTATGCTGCTTGAGTGAGCAGTGCAAGGCTTTAACACGATTATTGGGTGATTACATTTTCAAGTGTCTTTTGGACGATATTGTATTACGTCCACAGTTTAAATCCTCCGGAAAAATAAATTAATAATAATAAATATAAAGTTTAGTACAATTTTCTCGTCTTTATCTTTATTATAACGTTACACCGCCCTCTCCATTATAACGAATGTAAGAATACACCCCATATCCCTGCACCCCTCCCCGTCCCTCACCCACTCAACCCCGTTTTATTTATCACGAAGCCTATTTATTCATTACATTTGTAGTGTGCTCACACTCGTGTAAAATAATGTAACAAATTCCATCATCTTTTTTCCTTTTTGAAGCTCTTTTCATCAGAACCTGCCCTTGTATGCCTGATTTATGTCTTTTTTGCCCCCCCCCCCTTTTTTTCCCTTTTCCCCTCTAACCCTTTTCACAAAAATCCACAAAACTGAACGGGAAGATAAAAAGCCAGGGCATTCTTTTCTTTCCCTGTGTTTCTCCTGGACAGAAAATGGGCATTGACAATTGAAATTCAAGGCTTATTCTATGTGCTATTTCTTTCTCTCCATTTTTGCTAACCCACTTGGAAAATGACACATTTTTTAAAACCCTTTTTATGAGCAGCATTCAAGAAGTTGATGCAAATCTTAATGAATGAATCCTCAAGAACAAAATAAAAGCTTTGTTCTGTCTTTTTCAGCCAGCGTTGAAGATGTATTCGATATGCGTGAGGGTGCAGACATGCTTGCGAGCTTGTCTGTCTGTCAGTCTGTCTGTCTGTCTGTCTATCTGTCTGTCTGTCTGTCTGTCTGTCTGTCTGTCTGTCTGTCTGTCTGTCTGTCTGTCTGTCTGTCTGTCTGTCTGTCAGCCTCTGAAAGTTTGTCTGTATAGAGATTTTTTTTTACATAAACCTGCTGAATTCCTAGAAAGAGAAGGTGTAGAATAGAATGACAGACAGTAAGACAAACAGGCAGACATACAGATAGACAGACCGGTAGACAGTTAACCACACAAACACAAACACACAATAAATAATATATACCTTATATTATATAAGGACAGAGAGAGAGACGGACAGACACAGAGAGAGAGAGAGAGAGAGAGAGAGAGAGAGAGAGAGAGAGAGAGAGAGAGAGAGAGAGAGAGAGAGAGAGGGAGGGAAAGAGAGAGAGAGATTAAAAGGAAAGGGAGGGAAGAAGAGAAGGGGTCTCTTAAATCAACTGTAAAGATGGACAGGTGAGACAAGGTGATGCGCTAGTTTATTCTGACAGAATGATACAAGCCGGAGGTGATATAAAATCGATAAGAGTAGACTTCGGCCGCCCCCCGTGCAAAATTCAAACATCAATAATGAATTCCTACCAAACTGATAAAGCGCTCAAATGACCTTATGCAGTTGCGAGCGTGGTAAAACACTTACCTGCCCCCCCCCCCCCCCCCAAAGGGAGATGTTGTAGTGAAGTCAGCTTGCAGTATAGAGGAATACAAGAATTCCTGTAGATTCACAAACAGAACTGCTGTATTTTATTTCTGGGGCAAATCCAGAACTGTTTCTTTCGCAAAAAACCTTACTGCGACGTGAAATAAATGGGCTGATCGAACATCTACTAGATCTCCACCCCCACCCCCCCCCCCCCCCCGGGGGCCCGACCCAGCTCGAGAGTCCTCGGAAACAGAAATAATAATATATTTTTTGCCCTTTTAATCAACGTTTTTTCATGTAAAATCCATACATAACTGTGTTTTTAAAAGGACACCAAATGTGTTGAACCGAAAAAAAAGAGAATAAAACCCCAATCAATCAAAATTATCAAAAGTGCGGGACAATGCTGATTTGTTTGATTTCATTACTTTGACGAGAGCTTGATTTCACCATGTTTTGTTCTTAATGGCAACGTGAAGAGTCCTCTGGCGTCATTATTTCTCACAGATCTCGAGTGTTTACGCGTCAACCCATCACATGATAACAATATACCATTTTTCATGTTTCTTTTCATCGACTTGAAAAGCTCTTAAAATTTAAAAAATAAATTATAGGTTTCATGATTTGAGCAGCGCCCATTATGTATGGTGAAGAAAACTCTTTAATTAAGTATTTATTCGAATTACTAACATGGGCTTTTAAAGGACACTTGAAACATAAATACTTTCCCTTTCAAGACTTGTGGATGCTTTTTTAATGATGAATTGCGAGTTTTCAATGCAGTTCTATAATAATTTGAAGTGAGAACACTTCAAGTTAAGGATGTCTATAATTAAAGCGGCTATTAGATTTTTTGAACAGGCGAGAAAGGAAGTTGGCGGCTGCTTGTTAAATGCGTTATGCTTCACTTCTGTTGAAAATATTTGCTCACAGTTTCCGTCCCAGACAGGGTAGAAAAAAGAAAGAAAATCTCTTTTCTCTAGTAATTCAGACAACTTTATCTCTCCCCCACCCCCCCCCCCTCCCTTTTTTCAAGTTTTTCCCGCTGTTAACTCTTCAGGGTGAAGACATACTTCTATTTTTAGAAAGAAAGGTGAACAGCCACAGACAAAAGACACAGCAAAGACGCGTAGGGACTTCTCCATTCAGAAATCGTAGGCGTTATTCTCTAAATGCGAATATCCGTTAAAAGGAATTTTTCAGGAAACAAAAAAAAAGGGTTTTGGTTCTTCTGATTCAGATAATTTTTGCATTTTAAACTTCTACTCTCTAGTTCGCATGGTTGAAAAACTCATTTTGTAGGGTGAAAGATTCGTGATTGCCCCGCACAGGGTGGGGAATCTCCTACTGAGGTGATTAAGGCCAAGGTCGGCTGTGAGAATGGAATATTTCCTTCAATTTTATGATTTTCTGTTTCTGCAATATTATTATTCTGTATCCACTTGCTCATCTTGGGAAATACATTCTAGAGCCTAAAACTGTTTATACGTCCATGGAAGTGCAACCTACAGACAGGCAGGCAATCACATAACTCACAGTTTGTGCTAAAAGAACGGCTAAAACAGGCCTTAGTTACGCCGGTAAAAAATAAACGCTACAATGGAAAATTTGGTATAGATACAAAGGTCGTCTTCTCCTCTACACGCTACTGTCTGCCTTGACCTTCTGTGTTGTTATATTCCATCACAAAATTCATGCCACTCAAAATGCAAATAAAAGTCTTCATAACGGCATATGAAGCCATTGCTCGAAGGTTAAGTTTACCTCTTCCAAGAAAGTAAAGTTTTCTATGCTGGTGGCCATTGCTGAGTTCAACCATGGCCCAAAAGGTAGCAGTATTGTGATGGAGCTGTATGGTCAGAGAGACAGTACCAATTCAGCTTGGTGACATAACGGGCAGCAATTCGGATTGCTTGAAGTCAAAGGTATGAGGAGGAGAAACTGTCTAAGAGAAGGTCTTTGAGGCACATGGCATGAACTAGAAGGGAGAAGGAATTGGAAGAACTTGAGGGTGGTCCAAGCCATGCTGCTGGCTCATTAAAAAAAAATTTTCGGGTTGGAAACATAATGAAAACAGGAGGCAAGTGCACTTTTGCAATAAAAGCTTATTTTCTCAAAAAACAAAAAATTTGTGCATTTGAAGTTACAAATCTCCTATGTGGTTTGTGTGACATGCTTTAAATTTACACCATGTGTTTACAACATCAAATACAAATTTTGTCTCATTCATATGTATATACGGTGCAAAAAATTTTTTTACGATTTTTTTATGTTAGAGGAGAGCTTATAATTGCATAATATACATACACAAGTTTCAAAAAATCGTAAAAAATACAGCTATTCATTTAGTGAACTGAAAATCAGACAAAATGTGCATGACGTTAATGATAGTATGTGTGCCAACTTTCATGACTGTTGGGTGAATAACGAAAAAAAAATGTTCCATGGAAATATACTTAAAAATCCAAGATGGCGGCTGTTTTTCCTGTTTCCATGGCAACCAAAGCATTTTTCGAAAAATGAAATGTATCACATGTGAAGAAAATCTCTGTGGGGTATGGTTATCACAAGTAAGTAGATGGGAAATTACCCATCTAGCTTTTAGTTTTCACTGTAGACCTTGAACAACATAACTAGAATATTCATGACTTTCGATTCCCCCGGACAGGAACGTAATATGATACGAAACAAATAATAATAATATACTTACCGGCAAAAGTAATGCGATTTCACATGACACAAGAAGAGGAGAGTAAATTGAACCAATATTTTTATTTAGAGAAACAGGTTTGAGGCGTCTCAGATTGCACAAAACAATACTTGGGAGTTGGGGATTTGCTTGGGGACAGATTTTGTTACTCGGCATCAATGATTTTGACCTTGAGGCTTAAGTTCCAGTCAGTATCTGGTACGGCCCCCATTAGTGTTGATGCCAACAGTGCATCGGCGGTGCATAGAGTGGACCAAGCGATTTGTTTGTCAGTTGGGGACCTGCACCCACTCCTGAAGAATAGCAGCACCCAGTTGTGCAGCTGTCCGGGGTCTGGGCTGGAGTTGGTTGAGACGCCTCTGAAGGACGTCCCGTAGGTGTTCTATTGGGTTCATTTCTGGTGATTGGGGTGGGTGAGGCATGGTGGGTATGTTGTTCTGCACCAGGAACTGCTGGGTAGCACGCGCTGTATGAGGCTGGGCGGTATCCTGCTGAAAGAGGGGGTTTTGATGTCTCAGAAAAAATGAAGCAACATGGGGCTGCAGGATTTGGTTGATGTAGCACTGTGCCGTCACTCCGTTGTCACGTCCAGGTCCTAAATTTTTCAAGATCATGGGGCCCAGTCTTTGACTGATACCGATTGCGCCCCATATCATCACGCTTTAACCTCCCCACGGGTTTCCTAGATGTTCTCGTCAGAGTAGCGTTGTCCGGGGTGGCGCCAAATTCGGACCCGTCTATTGTCAGGATCGATGCAGAAGCGACGCTCGTCGCTGAAGATCACACGCTGCCCCTGTCGATGACACCGGTTAACGTGGTTCTGAGCCCACCCGAGACGAGCTCGTCAATGATGGACGTTCAGGAGTGTTCTCTTCTTCGGGCGTCGACAACGCAGCCCCCTGGCCACAAGTCGGCAGCGTATGGTGCGGTCTCTCACGGCTCTATCGTACGATCCTATGGTGTTCTGAGCTGTCTTGGAGGCAGACAATCGTGCATTTCGGCCATGCTGACGCGCGACGAAGCGGTCTCGGGCAGCTGTTGTCAGTCGAAGTCTTCCGCTTCTTTGGAGATCTCTCGTGGATTTGGTTACCTGGAATCTGTTTTGCAGACGGTAGATAGTACTGGAATGCATTCCCAGGACAGTTGCCACCTGCTGAGGGCTCTCATCGGCTTGCAGACACCCAACAGCTCTTTCTCGATTTTCCGCAGATTAACTTGGCATCTTGATAGTCGGACTATGCAACACTCAATCAACATTTTAGGGCAGAGAATATCTTGGCCAGACCAACTTAACATGTGAGCAAAAATTCACAATTCAATTCACACTTTAATTGCGTACCATTGAGAAGGTTGCTTTGTTGTATTGTTTGATGCATAAGCGGCCAAAGAGCGTGTTGTGTTTTTTTAATCAAGCTAATCCAATAACAAGAACACATTGAGAATAGAGTCAAATGAAAACATCTCACAAAAATACTCAGTTTTGTTTTCTACACATGGTGTTGCTTTTTCGCGTTATTTATGCCGGTCAGTATATTCAGTCTCTCTGCTTATTGATGGTGACTGACAGGGTTGGAACACATCGCTATCTAAATGACCTAACTTCTGGCGAGGAAGGCTTAAAACACTTGCTGGGGCTGTCGTGGTCTACAGGTACGGTGTTTGCCTCCTGACAGCGACGGAAACTTTTCTTCTCTGAAAAAATGTTCTCCTTTCACCTTTCCTGCTCTTTAATCATCCTCTGTCGCCTGTTTTGTCTCCACTTTCCTTTACCCCACCCCCACCCCCACCCACCACCCTCACAACCTCTTTTCCCCCGCTTCTGGGCATCTGGCTCTTTTTGCTGCCTTTCCGCTGCTAGTCCTTGGCTTCTTACTACTGTCTTTCAGCCACACCCCGATCTTAGGGTAGGTAAGATGTAACACCTAGCCTTCTCGGATAAGGGCAAAGCATCTCAGAGGTCCGGTTAGCAATGTTGCGCACGTTAAAAATCCCTAGATGGTCCTAAAATCAATAGAAAAAATTAATTCCTACCAAACTGAAAACGCTTATTGTGCCCCGCTCACTCATATGACCTTACGCAGTTGCGAACGCCGTAAAACACTTATTAAAAAAACCCACTTGTCATCAATCAATCAGCGTCGAGGTTAGACGTTTCACCGCTGCACACAGAACACCTGGATTCAATTCATATGTGGGGAGAATTATTATCGAGTATCTCAGCTGTTGCAAAACTGAAGGCAAACGAGGCAGGGGAAAATCTAGAGTAACCTACTAGGAACGATTCAACAGATGGGGGACGGGGAGAGATCAGGATCTGGATAACGTAGCTTTTTCGAGAACACCCGAGCAAAGGAATGAATGGAGACCCATGATCGCTGCCGTCTGTCGCAGATCTGGCACTTAATTATGATGGTTTCGGATTTTTTCTTCTGTGACGTACTTCAGTCTCTCACTCTCTCTCATCCCAGGTTGGCACTGACCGGCAAGGTCGAACCCAACTTCTTAATAATCAAAACTGTGTCGATGGGGGCGTGAAAAGACGCCTACGTTGAAAAAAATTCAACCATGGCATTAGCAAAGGTTAATAACTCCTCTCCCCCCTCATCGTTAAGCAAACAACTTCGCACCCTGTTCCTTGTTTCTACCGATTTAATTAATAAGCGGCTGAAATAATAGTATATCAGTTATGAACACTGTTTGCTTTTTCCTGGGATCACCTTGTCACAGTACAGCGGGGTTGTTAAGGGTCACAGCTTCAGAACAGCTAGAATAATGGGGTTATGTTTACTGTCTGTTCAAGGTCAACATTTTGTTGTTGACTCAACCTTTTTTGTTAGTTTGTTTGTTTAGTTTGTTATTTTGTCTTGTCCAGGACAATTTATATCAACCTCTTTTCTGTTAGGGTGCAGGCGTACCAAAGGTACCGTCGGCGTTGTGCTTGACAGCGGTGCACTTGCCACACCCGGGATATTAACGTGTTCTTATGCACAGTAGAACTGTTAATGGGCTGATTTATCAATGGCATGCTCATACTGTGCTGGAACAACATAGGGGGAACTGCTGCTTTTTCTTTCCTTACCCTTACAACGGTCATTTCCTCTACTTCTTTTGTATGTTTGTCACTCTCTTGTGAACTGCTATTTCCGGGGTACCTTCATAGTCGAAGCAGACTTTGTACTTCTGAGGTGAGAGAGGTGAGCAGAGTAAGCCTGATTCCCCGTTTGGACTTCTCTGTTGACATCCATCCACTGGCACTCAGTTGCGAGCGCCGAAAACCTTACTATAACAATCAGGTGCACTTGGTCCGGGTTCGATTCGCCTTGTCTTGTCGTTGTCTCTTTATCCTTCCTCTTGTATCGCTCTACGTCGAGGGGAGAGGCAATTTTCGGTCAAAGCCTAGGTGGGTGGTTTCTGTTGTTGATATATTATTCTTTTAGGGACTTCTTTAACACCATCCAGCTGACTGACCGACCTCTTATTTTGTTATTTTTGGTGGAGTGCTACATCTTCCTGAGTTCCCTACATGGCCCAGAGATGAAAGAAGAAAAAATTCAAAATAGCTGCGTTTGAGATGTGGTGCTAAGGTAGAATTGCACTGATTAGCTGGAAAGCAAAAAAAAAAAAACAGAAAAGAAAAGAAAACCCCCCAGAAAAAACAGAAAACTGATAGTGAGGTGTGTCAGGTTCTCCACACTAGACAAACCCTGCTAAACAAAATGAAAAGTGGAAAATACAATACTATTGTAACATAAAGCTCCAACAGATCATTATAAAGGAAATACTCAAAGGCAACATGTGGAGCAAAAGGACGAAAGGTAGACAAAGAACAAGGTGGAACGATAGCATCAAGGCATGGACTGCCAGCAGCATAACAAAAAAGTGTTAGTATGGAATCCACAGGGTAAAAGATCAAGGGGAAGACCACGTGTAACCTAGAGAAGAATCCACATAAATTGATGTACAGAAAAGTGGGAAGATATGAAATAACAATACATCAAGAGGCTAGCCCAGGATAGAGAAAGGTGGAAAGTGTTTGTGGCCTATACCCTGATGCAGGGTGAGAAAAGCAATGATGATGTTGGACTGGCCTTAGTATAACCGAGTGTACGACGATAGCTAGCGAACGTAAGCAAAAATTGAGGGTCATTGCACGTTAACTTCTGATCTGGAGATAACATCTCCAGGTATCCAGGTATTTTGGACTTAGTTCATTTGTAAAAGTTCCAAGGCCCTCTTGATAGTGTAGTTGGAGATACCACTGGTAGGTGCAAATCGTGAGTTTATACGGTCGGGGGCTATCGACTCTTAGCTGGGTCCAACGTTTTGTCCTTGGGTAAGACACTTTACACAAATTTCCCGCTTTCGGAGATGGACGTTCAAGTCGGAAGTCCCGCCTCTTGAATAACTTGAATAATGTGGCGTCCGTGGCCTAGTGGTTAGGCTCTCGGACTCGCAACCGTAAGGTCGTGGGTTCGAATCCCGTCAGGGGCCCGACGTTGTGTCCTTGGGAAAGGCACTTTACACGAATGTTCCCCACTTCTCCCAGGTGGGAATGGGTAGCCGGCTTTAGACAGCGAAAGATCTTGTCAGTTTGTTAGTGTTTGAACGCTTAATCAGCTGCTTGCACTGAATGATTCCCGGGAAACTGAGAATGTTTCGGAATGTTATATGGTCTGCTGGGGTAATAATATAGTGTAAAGCGCATAGAGCCTGCTGTTGAGCGGGGATATGCGCTATACAAATGCTATTTAATATTTTTATTATTAGAACCTAACAGTGTTGATATGGACGTTATACCTATACCATTTCACCATGTTTTCATAGCCACATACGAAAGAAGATGTCGAACTCTACCAGAAATACAGGTTCTATGTCACCCTTTTTTGTGGTAATTCTTTGGTCTGTTTATTCCTAGCACTCGTTGTCCTTTTGTGTCGATACCTTTCTCTTTACTCCTATACGTCCGACTTTGCCTCCATGGAAAACACACTTTTCACGAATTTCCCATTTGGCTCTGTCTTTTGGGAGAAGGGCGTTAAACTCGTAAGTCCCGCCTCTTAAATAACCAAATAGAGTTGATACAGGCGTTAAACCTATACCGTTTCACCATTTTACTCCTACAGTGCTCTCCAGTCATTTGGCCTGGGCCTTAAAAATAAGTCAGCAGAGTCTTGACTTTAAAATAACCTTATTTTGAAAACAAAATTAATAATATAGACGTCTGTGGTGTAGCTGTTAAACACCTAGCTGTCGTACGAAGAAGACATACGTTCGATTCCCCTGTAGGCAATTTATACTTCGATACCCATTTATCTTCCCCATCCAAAGAATCATGTTAAAATGTGGTACCAAAAAAAATCACCCACTATTATCTGAAGGGGGGAAAAGTCCACATATTTATTTTGCTGCAGCGATTATGGTGATGCTGGTGGAGCCTATGGGTCGATGAAAACTTCCATAAGATTGTTAAATTGCAGGCCCAGGGGTCTATTTTTGTTGGTTGTTGAGATGAACAATGGCGCTTTGTCGGACTGTGTCTCTGGTCGATGATGAATCAATTGATTTAGGGCAAAGTAGTTTGAAGGGTACAGACCGAGAGAAAGAGAGAGAGAGAGAGAGAGAGAGAGAGAGAGAGAGATAGAGAGAGAGAGACAGAGAGAGACAGAGAGAGACAGAGAGAGACAAAGAGACAGAGACAGAGACAGAGACGGAGAGAAAGATAGGAGATGGGGAGGGGAAGTAGAGGGAGAGAGAGTGGGAGTTTGAGGAGGGAGAGAGTGGGAGAGAGCAAGAGAGAATAAAAGCCACTGAGTGAAAGAAAAAAAATAGTGCGTGACAGACAGACATACAGACGGACAGGCAGACAGACAGACAGACAGACAGACAGACAGACAGACAGACAGACAGACAGACAGACTTTTTTTATGTAGGTGATTTTATACCCCAATTAACACAATTCAGATATTTTAGAGGGCTTGGATTATGACCCTGCCGATTACGGTCAACGAGAGGTGAAAGACTGAAACACTCGATAACAATTTCTTGGAATTACTTGGATTCAGATCTGGAATCATAGCAGGCTGCACATGTCCATAGCTGCTCATCTTTCCT